AACACATTATAGCAAACGCCCTGAAAATGATACCATTCCAATTTCACATTTCAAACTGGCTACAAAGTTCGGTTTCTTCAAAGATCGCCAGCTGCTCAAGTTTTTTTTATGCAAAAAACAACACTTTTCTTACTGTTAATTAGATGTAGACCAAATCAAATAAGCTTTTTTTCGGTTACGGTCGTGAAATTAATTTATTGACTCATAATTCAGAACTGATTGATGGATACCTTCAGTTTTAAGAATTGAAACCCATGTGTAGTAGCTAGTCAGCCATTTCAACTCCATCTTAATCCGTCTGTGTTAATTTATAAGGAACACCGCAAGTTGCGCTTTTGAACCCAGCACTGTGACCCTGGTATTGATTTAAACGTCCCTAGATTGTTTGGTTATGAACTGCAGTTTATATTTTATATCGAACAAGTATTGTTTCAACACAGATCCCACTCACTGGGCAGTAATCCGGCGGGCACTCAGCAGCCTCAGCAGCCTCAGCAGCAGCAGCAGCAGGGGTACAGGGGCTTCGCCAGCCACAGTGGCCAGCGGAGGTCCATGGACACTGCCCAGAGTGTGTCCTCGTCACACAGAAAAGTGAGCAGTCCATCATTACAAATTAGTGTAGACAACAGTGACAGTTGATCAGCCACAAAGCAGAGAGACTTATGGTTGTATAGATGTGTTGATTGTGGTTTGTTTCCAGCTGGACTGGCGTCGTCACTGGCCCCAGGTGCTGTCACAGATGCAGCAAACAAGTCCCCCTCACGGTGTAGGGGTGAATAACTGCAGTACGGCCACAGGTAGGGCTGCTCCTGCTGCTGCGAATAGAGTAAACAACAGAGGGGGCATCAGGCAGCTCGGGCGGGCAATGGGACTCAAATGGGGGCAGGATGCCACAGACATGGAACTCTCTGGGCAGGTATACCTCATGTCTTAATGGAACTGCTTCATTAGAAACCGGAAGCAACTCACTCTCTCTCTCTCTCTCATCATGAATCCCATGGGTACTAATTTCAATGGTCCCGGTTAAAATCCTTTGTTGTCTCCATTTATTACAGAGGTTTTTTTCTCGTTTTTTTTTGTTTTCTGCTTCTTGGTTCTTTGATTCTCGGACACCACGGTGTAAGACTCAGTTGCTCGCCTTAGAATATGAAGATATAAATGGGCAGTTGGTTAGTTTTAGTATCCCTACTTGTTGAATGATGTGTCTTGTATGTGTGACAGGTGGAGATTAGGGGGGATGAGTTGAGTGTGGTGGTGATGGAAGGGGACATCAGGAGCACCCGGTGGCTGACCCTCTCCCTCTCCCAGCCACTGCTCACATTCGACACCCATTGCAACTCCTGTCCCCACCCTCGCCACACTCACAGTCTAAACAACAACAACAAAAACAACACAAACAGCAGCAACAAGCAAAACAAAACGAACACTGCGTCCGGCGGCACCCACCCCAACAACCACCACAGTGAGTAAAGTGTATTTCTGGGAGAAAAGTATCCACTCCAAACAAATGCGACGGGTCAAATACAAAGTCATACAAAATCAATCCATCCTCCAGTGCCATGCCACCCCAACAAGGTCCTTGTAACAAATTTCAGTTGGACGCTGATCTGGGATTTTTTCTCATTTTAGAGGGGGGTTGGGTTTTTTCAAAATGTTTTAACCCGCTGGAACCCGACCCCAGTTTTACTAGTTAAACGAAGGTGTTCAATAGTAGTTTTAGTTGTCAAATAAATCGTATCAATTACCTGAATTGCACTCGGCTCATAAGATGCGCCTCGTATCAGTTATTTGAAGAATTGAACAGCAGACGGTGTAGGTCTAATTAGGTAATTTCGAATAAATCACTTCCAATTGAGTTGTAAGAGAAAAGATTTTAGCACTGACAACTAAAAACAACAACATGGTAGCCAGTCTGAAAAGAACACTCGAACTGCATTTTATTTGATCTAGAACTTGTCAATGATCATAAAACTACCCGAGATACTGAAACAAGTTCGACTTGCCTTGAGATTTCTTGCTATTTTATGCAGAAACGACAAACGACTGTAGAGGGCCATGATGTATCGGATCATTTTTGATTCAAAATGAAATTTCCTACAAATATTTTTAATGAGCGCAAAAAAAAACAATCAAAATAAGGAAAAAGTAAACAAAACTTTTAGAAAACGATACGTTTTTTTATAAAAGAGAAATAATTCAAATTTATTCTGGAATAAATTTACAAAAATTAAGCACACTTATCAATTAGAGCATTTGGACATAAAGGACAATTGGAGTTTCTTGATTGCAAGCATAGCACATTAATCCGGCAAATATATTTCATAAACTCAGAACAAAAAAATGTTCCGATTGAAAAACACTGGGTCACAAAGCTAATTTAAAAATGCTGGTAACAATAAATCAAATTACTGCCGCTAGAAGGATATTCCATCAACAGAAAACAAAATAGCTCTTACCAAACAAAATAAGTATGTTGAACTAGTGTCAGAAAACCAAGGTCACGCACTATCAGAATCAAATACAATCATTTACAAAAAGTAATTTGAAAGAATTTTACAGTGTAATTATGAATTGAAAATCAAAAACACTCAGCAACCTAAAATGAATTATTTTGCTTCATTTGGAGAAAAATTGTCTAAACAGCAATTTTAGCTCACATATAATGGAAAGAAAACAAAATGTATCAGGACGAAACTAGTCTCAGTAAATTTTGCAACTTAACAAGGTGATTAAAACCAAAGACAGTTAAGACACCTACGAGCACAGCAGCTCTAATCAACAATTAATGTCGGAAATCAATTTTCCTAGTTGCTTAACAGTTGGAAAAATTCATCCCATTCTGAAAGTTAGGAAATATAAAAAGTTAATCAACGTGAGACTGAAAACTTTATTTTTAACTACATCAAACGTTTTTGAAAAATTTTCGTATAAAGGAATATTTGATGTACGAAAGTTGCGAGAAATGGTAAGAATTTTAGAAACCCCGGCCATGAAATTCCTGATAAAAAATTGCTGAACTTATGGATTTAAGGAAACTGCAGCAAAAATGACATCAACATATTTCGAGGATTGATTACTATAAGTAATAGTAGAGAGCACCGTATCTAGCAAGATACAGAGCTGCTACTAACACCAAATTGATGAAAAGCAAAAAACAATCAAAAACTGATTCTACGAAGTTGCCTAAGTTTGCGAAACTTGCGAAAAACAGAAACTCTCCTCTCCGGAAGCTAAAAGAGAAATTTAAGTTTTGTTGCGTCAGGGAGTTGCATCATTGTGACTTAATGAATTTATTGACTAAAAACTTGAGGCGGCAGCACCCAATCTTATTAATCATCAACAAAATAAGGGATCACGAATTTTTTATGACTTTTCAAATCGCTATCTTCAACTCAGTCTACGAAACTCAGAAAATGACGAACGCAGGATAAAAAACAAACAAAAACCAGACAAAAATTAATTTAGGTGCCATTCAATTCTCAAAATAGTCAAATAATTTCAATTCTGCATCGCATACGGGATCTATACAGCTGAGTTTGGGATTAAAGTTTTTTGGTATTTGGAACTTCAACTGTACTCTTCGCTGTTTGCTTGTGAAAACACCACTCAATAGGCACTTATTTGCCTATCCAGGATGGATTTTTTTTAGTGTTTTGAGTTCTTTTTTCTATTATTAAGAATCGAGTCTGGTATTTTCTTGACAACGAATTTAAAATGACTATGAGTTTCTCCTAAACAAACCAAGTCACTCTTCTCTTTTTTAAGAAGAACCAAAAATTTTCACACAAGTTAACGTACAAAACTCTGCATTTACGATGACCTGAAAACCAAAATTTTGCAATCAGGACTAAATGAATAATTTAAATCTTCTTTGAGAATAGATTATCCCGCAAGGCAGCGTCTGGGATAAAACTAGTTTATAATGAATTAGAGAATCTTGCTGAAAGTTTTGATATTTTAATAGACAATGCATATTCAGTTTAGGCTGTATATTCTAGCAGGAAAATTGGATGTTTTAACGACATCTTCGCTTTGCAATCCCACCAAAATCTCTTTTTTTGTCATCTAAGCGCGCTAAAAAAATTTCTCCATATAATCGCAAAAAAAAATTATTTTTTTTTCCTCACTGATCCCAACAAAATCTTATGTATTAAATGACTCACCGAAAATACAAATGCATGAAAACTTGAATTATCTTTTGGATTTTGAGCACATCGATACCCTCCAATGGTATAACAATTTTCAGAAAAAGACACTTCGATAATCGATAGTAGTCTCTGAAAATCTGCCTGTAACGTGGTCAAGTTAGATGATGCCTCCCCACACTGACAAAAATGGTTTCCGGTCGATTAAATTGATTTTAAATCGATTTTAAATCGATCCAAATCGATTAACCATGTATATTTTACGCACTTAAAGGGATTTTAAATCGATTTAAATCGATCTTTTTGAAAAATTTAAATCGATTTAATTATCCAAAAATCGATTTAAATCGATTTCGATGGATTTTCCGACTCACTAAACTCGAATTTTTTGCTAACAAGGCAAAAAACATGCAATTTAAAAAACTAATTGAAATACTTTGTTCTTGATTTTTTGTATAAAAAGGCACGTGCCAGATGTTTCAGAAATCAAGGAAATTGTCAAAATATATCAGATTTTGAGCTCAAAATTATGCAGTAAGTTCAGAAAAAAATCGCTAAAAATCGACGTTTGACCTCAAAACTATGCAACGAAAATCCAGAAAATCATCATTGTAAATCAGATTTTGCGCATTGACATATGTAACAAATCAAGAAAATTGTCAAAATAAACCAGATTTTGAGCTCAAAAATATGCAATGAAATCATAGAAAATCATCATTGTAAATCAGGTTTTGGACAAAAACATATTTGACAAATAAAGAAAAGTTTCGATCAATTTCAATTTAGGTCCGATTTAAGATCCATTCAAATTGATTTAAAATCGACTGGAATCGATTTTTTAGCGTTGAAAATAAATCGATTTAAAATCGATCCAAATCGATCTGAATTTTTTGTTTTTATTAACTTACTTTTTTACAACTTAAATCGATTTCAATCTAATCTGCATACTTTTTTCGCAATCGAAATCCATTTTTGTCTGTGCGGGTCTGTCCCTTAAGGATTTAAGGAAGAAGTGTGTGTTTGAGGAGAAGGGTGGCCGTCTAGTGACGTGGACAGTGAAGGGGGTGGGGTGGTGGTGGTGAAGCAGAGCCTCTCTGCCCGTCTGCTGCATGACCCCTATGCCACCACAGACAAAAAGAGGGACTTGATGATGGCAGAGGTGAAGTTGTGCCACCGAGTGGGCGATGGATCATGTCCAGTCATGGTCTCCAGCTCAGTCCACGAGTGGTTCGCACACACACTCTACTATACACCCCCAGGTGACTCTCTCTCTCTCTCTCTCTCTCTCTCTTGTGATATATACTACAGTCATATTACAATTAGTTTTCAAAGGACAGTGAGGGTATTGAGTTGATATGCAAACAGCACACGATGTTTCAACCGCTACAAAAATATCTTCGAAACAAGAAGAAATCGAATAAAGGTAGTTTTTTTATAATCAATTTTTTCGAATTTTTTTTCAAGTTGATACGATAAAGCTGCAAAACATACTGCGCTCCTAAATTGTCAACCAATGTTTTTTGTGCTGTAAATCTGAAAAAAAAAATAGAGTTTAACGGCGTTTTCTAACGTATATCTCGACTACTAATGGAATTCAAAGTGAACATTGTAACAACTCCTTCAATATTACCGCATCAGTGAAGCAAATCAAAACTAAGATACTTAAATCTTTATAGCCATAATTTGACGATGACTGAAAGCTCAAATACATGTTTTCTGCCGGATTTGACAACTTCACGGTTTCTACATATCTTTTTTCAAAACTGGCGACCACGTTGGTGTCACCCAACGACGCATTGCAGGCCACATTCCCAGCGAAAACAGGCATTCGAGATGGCTGCTTCAACAAAACAGGCATTCGAGATGTCTTGGGTATTCGCTATTTTGTCCTTCAGATATACTCGCACCAGTTACCATACTGTTCAAAGCGATTTCTTAGCTCATGTATTTCTAGGTTAAACTGGTATACAGGGTAGAATGGCATGGGGTAAAATGGATTAGAGTAAAATAGAATAGGGTAGTTGTCCTGCTACTGATCAAACACTATAGACTTATTCAGACGAACTTTTGGGGAACCTGATTTTTTGCTGAAAACAAAAAGAAAAAATGAAACAAGAATAACCGGTTACTGTACAAGAAGAAAAGCTTTTTTTTTCAAGTAAGTTAAGTTTTTCTGCGTGGGGTGATAAAAAAAGTCTGATGTAAAACTATATTTACGCACATTTGACATTCAAAGAAATATGGGCAAATTAGACGCATGTTTTTAAAAAAAATTGACAAGAAAAACAAAAAATAAAAAAACAAAAGAACTCAGTTTTTTTCAAATTTTTTGCAGAAAATTTTCCAATTTTTTAAGTTTTTCGGTTCCCAAAATGCAGCTAAGAAACTCCAAAAACTGATTTTACTTGTTTCAAATTAAATTTTTAGGGCTCAAATTTTGCATAATTGAGCTGTTATATGCCTGATCGCTCGCTTTATTCCCTCAAAATTAGGGGAAAAATCTCGGGAATTTTCAATGTGGTTCGCACCGGAAAAAGATGTGCCTAAAAGTAACACATCGCAAAAAAAACTAAATACAATTAATTCATTTCCCCATCAATTCCCTGGCCTGTCTTACACTCTTGTGAATAATGAGAAATGGGTTTACTCAATTGTCCCAATCGAGAGCAAAATAGTCAAGAAAATCGAGTACCCTGAAATGCTTAACTTAATACTTGTGGAGGCAAATCTGGAAAAAGACCCTATTTTGAAAACCATTAGAGACGCAATACGAGGCCGGATCCCACGGGCAAAAGAAATAATTACTACGCTTGGACAATAGTACGCCCAATATTATAACGACTTTGCAGTGAGGGAAAACTGTCTGTGGATGGACGGCCGTTTGGCCATTTCGAAGGATATGTCCACTTCAGTACCTAACTGACTACATCACAACCACTAGGGTCGTGATAAAATGTTTGCAGCGGCGAAGAATGTTTGGATCCCGCTCATGCATAGGATTCTCGCGGCCACCACTAAGTAATGCAAAGGCTGCTTGGAAGCAGGTAAAAATCTCAAACTGAACATTCCTAAAAGTAATATTGGGATAACGTATGAACCCAAAGAACCTAACGATTTAGTCCAATTGGGTTTCTGAGGTCCAGTAAACTATGTTCAAGGTCAGATAAAATATGTTCTAGTAGCGGTAGATACTTTTTCACATTGGCCGTCGGCATCCGTTTGCTCAAGTAACAAATCGAAAACTGTTCTAAAATTGCTAAGTAAATATATAAATAAACATGGTCACATAAGTAAGCTACATATGGATCAGGCGTCCGGATTCTTTTCAAAGGAGATTTTAAATTTCTGTAATTACGAGGGTATCGAACATATGAAATCCCCGGTAAAAGACCATCGAGCAACAGGTATAGTTGAAAGAACCGTCGGTTCAATAAAAAATTACGTTCCAACGTTTTTACGGGAAGACAAAAACCAAAAATTCAAGACATGGTATCCGAAGCAATAAGCGTTTTACGATTTGTACCGCATTCTTAAACTAAATTGAGGCCATTCGAGGCCTACCATGGACGAGAAGCTAACACCGCGCTCCGAAATCTTACAATTAGACCATCATTTAAAAAGCTCAATTGGAAAAATGTAATTGATCACAAATTACATGCTTAGATGAAGCAAATGGTTTCCCAGAAGTGGAGCTAAACCTAGATTCGAAGAAGCGCAGCGACCTGGTGTTTGCTCCCCAAAACCGGAAAACTCTTCGGGTGTTGCAGGAACACGAAATAGCAGAGGCGGACGTCAAACTAACCTTCTCTAGCGCACCAGCGTGGCTCAAGCGCCTCAAGACTAGCACAACAGCAGTGTATCAGAGAACCGGGATCACAGATCCAAAGGACCCAAGTAGGTATAAACGCTTATCTTCCACAATAGAAAAATTAACACCACGTACGGTGTAAATGAAAAAAGGGGCCTTACTAAGGCGAAGTGGTGTTTCTTTCAGATCAGCGGTCGAAGGAAACGGGATAGAAAAGGGTTCCAGCGAAAACACCTCAGGCCCAAGTACACTCCGCGAACCAAAAAGTAATCCATGAGCTGAAGCTAATGTGGTTTCAACGGAAACTTCGAAAAAGACGAAAAAGAAGCAAACGCACGCAGAGAGTGACGAGAGTAAACTAAATAAATCAAGGCGAGTAGTTGAAAGTAGCGATTAAGAAAGCGATGACGACGATGACGAGAACGAACGAGCGGGCGAAAGACGGGACGAACGAGAAGTTGCATCGAGCGGCGGGACAGCAATGAACATGGCGAGCGAAGAAAGGCGAGATCAAGAATCGGGTGAACCGTCGGGCACGGAGCAAGCGAGCTCATCGAAAACCATCGGTCAAAAGACTGAAAATTCGGAGGAGGCTAAACGTCGGTCGACGAGACAAAGAAAAGGAGTGGACAAGATAGGCGGAGAGATGATCCATCGAATTGATCGCAAATGAGAAAAAGAAAGGACAAAAAGGACCCAGGTAGAGGGTCGGCAGATGTGCCGAAAAACTCAAACATTTTCAGTATCTTAGCTTTTCAGATTAAACTAAAACTGACTGATGAACAAATACTTATTGATATGATGATATGTATCAAATAAGGTGCGAAGTACTATAAAATTTAATCTACGGATTTAAAATTTATTTATGGTTGCCCATATGACATAGGAACCAGTTTAAGTTTATGTAAGTTTATTTTAAGTCTTTGGTTTTTGTCTGGGGACCTGCTGTTGTGACCTTGCGATCGCTATCGTCCGGCATACACTAAAAAAAAACAAGTGCAGTAAGTTAAGGTATTTTGAACAATACAGTTGCCTTATCAATTAAACTTTGGTTACCTAATTTTTGGATCTTCATCAACGCATCCATTCCCTCAATTTCAACAACATTTCAAAAAGCCTCACACCCTAAATTGTCATTAAAATAATCTACTCTAATGTGCCACCCCGAATGAAAGTCTGAACAATTTTGTGTGTATATTTTTCGTTTTCAAAATGAGATGTCTAGTTGTCGTTCAAAATGAGAAATGAGTAACTCTATTGTTGTTTAGGATGTGTTGTTTGTGCTTTAGACAAATCGAAAGCGCGTTCTGTCTACTACAAAGTGGAGAGCTCTCTCATAGCCTCTCTGCCTCGACTGGAAACGAGTCTGCGGACGGAGCAGGTGCAGACAATGGGCGACCCGAACAGCCTCCTTCCTCAGGACGTGGCGGCGGCGGCCACTTTCATCGGCAGCACCAGTCGTCGCTCCCCTCCGCAGCCGACCCCTGTGCGTCCCCGAGTGGAGTGCGACTTCTCGGCAGTGCTGCACCAGCCGATGCAGGTGGCTCTCGACCCCCAGTACATAGAGGTGATCCGCAAACTAATCAAGGACTGCGGCCAGCGAGTCAAGAGTGCCACATCAGACTCTAAAGGTTAATCAGTTGTCTGTTCAGTATGAAAGAATCCCGAAATACAAGTGGTTCCTAACACCAACCCAAGGAAACTGCTGGCCCGAATAGAAGAAAACCCAGATAGTCGTATGGATAATTATAATGGCCAAAGAATGAAGGCGACACTCACATTTTTTCTCTTCAATCGTTGTCCGCACACTGCGATATGTTTAATTTTTGTTCCAGTAGTTTGAAAAAGTTTTTTCTAAGATTCCATTAATCATCCAGAAAATGAAGAGCAAAAAAAATGTTCTCCTTTTAATTGAATACTTCGACCCATTTAGTTGTACTCACCAACTTTGCCCCTATTAGTGTGTACGTGAGATATAAGACTTGCTAGCTCATTTTAAGTGAGGAAGAAAGTCTCTGGCTCAAATTAATTCCACCCTGATTTTTTGACAGGTGCTCCTAGTGCGATGAGGAAGGCGCCCAAACCGGGAGACCCACGGGAGTACAATGTGAGGGAATGGACATTCGATCCCTCTGTCAAGTTAGTAGTGCACCACCAGCTCACCAACAATGTCCCTTTTATCCAAGAAGTGTTTTGATGCAAAAATGTTTTAGATTTGTTCACATCAAAACTTTCTATTCTGACATTTACCTTCGCATTTGTTTTCAATTTATATTTCTAATTCAATTATAAATGGAAGGCGAATTGCGTTTTTTGAAAAGCAATTTTAAATGAAGCAAAAATTGGAACTGTTTGGTTTTAGTTTCAACAGCGAAAACTAATTTTAAGATATCCATCGGAACAAAAAATATCCATTGAGCCTTCTTGTCTCAATTGGGTTAGTTTTATCACCACAAGCGTCAAAAAGTTTTAAATTAAACAAGATTTAGGGTTAATCAATACATTTTTTGAAATTTTTTTATGAAAAGATCACACAATTCAAATTTTAAAGAAAAACGAGACAAAATAATTTTGAGACAAATGCAATGAAACAGAATGGCAATTCTGTTGATTTTTTGTGGTATCTTTACTCTAAGCTTTATCTTCAGAACAATTATATACCTTATTTAAGTGTTTAAAAGTAAGTGAGAATAGGAAAGAGTAGTACTACGTTATAGAGGTCGTGTTCACTTTTTTGTTGCTTTTTCTCAGAAGAGAGTCCTTAAAAAAATGCCCTAATGAGTCCAGAAGTCATTCGTCATTCGTACATATTATGCGTGATGTACATATTTGCAGTTTCAATTCAACTAAACTTCAATTGTCCGTAGAACAAGACTGCTCGTATCAGGACAAAGCCCTGAATGTTCCGACTGTCTTTTAAGGTCTATGGAGCAGTGTTTGCTTTAGAAAAAAAACTTCCAAAATTTTGAGTTTTTTCTAAATCTTTTCTCATGTCATATAAAGTACAAAGTGACAGATTTTACTCCTGGTAACAAAAAAGTATGACAGATAGCCTGTTTCAACCAATTTGGAACGATTTCAATGAGGGATTAAATCTCCGCTTGCGCGTTAATAGCGCGAAATATATAATGCATTAATTGTCCCAAACTGACCAAAGCAACAATCTTTAAACCCTCATAATTTTTTTAAAATGATCACAAGTAAAATATCTTTTCGAATTTGAAGCCCAAGACAACAAAATTTTTTGGCTAATTTAAGAAAAATTTGTCAAAAACTCTTAGTTAAATGTCGAAATGTCTCTGGAGAAAAAAAAACACCCCGAGAACAAATATTCCATTATTTTCGTTACGATAGTCGGAACAAAAAGCAACAAGACTGCTCGTACCATGGCGAAGCCCTGAATGTTCCGATTGCCTTTTAAGGTCTATGAAGCAGTAATAACATGAGAATGTAATTAAAATAAAATTGGAAACATATATTTTTTCTAAATTTGAGATTTTTTGTGAAAATCATCCCCCCACACACCATATAAAATACAAAGTGATAAAATTCGCTCCTAGTAACATATCAACTTTGGCCAGGTGAATCGCAAAAAAATAGATAATGATGCAAAACAGTGAGCTTGACTCCAGTTTCAGACGTGGAACTCGATAGTCGGTTTACGAGCACTAAACAGAGGGTTCCAGTTGATTTAAAAGGACAAGACTGCCTGTATTAGGAAAAACTCCCAAATTTTTGATTGCATTTTAAATATTATAGCAAAACGCATCCTTTCACCGAGTTTAATAAGGGATGAAGTTTTTGAAGTAAAATTTAAAAAAAAAAACAGTTTTGTTTGCAATAATTTTTTGAAAAAAATTGCCACTAATTTTCTACGATGTTCAAAATTGTCGAACTAGAGTTTAGCAAGGAACAACGCTGATTTTCAAACGCGTTTTTATCAAATGGGATTTAGATAAAGTAACAATTTGAGAGAACAAAAGATGCTTAAAAGTTCGCAAAAACTATTATGCAATTTACTCTGCAAAATTCGAAACTTTTTTTGCTGATTCAAAACATTTCCCCAAAAAAGTATTTTTCATTTTCTAAATTACAATTAAGTACCAAAATAATTCAAACGAAATTTATGTCAAAATTTTTTATTTTAAACTGTTCAACAAAGTTCTGGACAGATATAATCTCCAAGAACCTGTATATGAGAACATATTTCTGCTTGACACCAAAAATAGTTTTTTTATATATAAATAAACAAAGATTTTAACGTATCGCGGAATTTTTTTTCGAGAACTCTGTGAGCTCTGTAAGAAGATCTTTTGGATATATTTTTTTGTATCAAAAAACTCATTTTTGTACCAGTAGTTTCAACGTAATTTTTTATTACCTAAAATGAGTTGCGTCATAATGATTCTGTTACAAATCTGAGCATTCTTTGTGCACTTCACCTTTCGTCTAATTTTGACCAAGTTTGAGAAAAAGCATTTGAAAATTCAGGTTTTGTTCATTTTGTCCCGGTAGATTGAATCAGCACTATGTTTAGGTTTTATATTTTCAAATAGCCGGATTCAAATCAAGTTGGAGTAATTTTGGAGCCGGGTTATATCTTCGAGTCCGCGATAACAGAACGGAACACAACCATTTTGCCAACTTGCAAAACGCCACTTTCTTACAAAGAATGAAAGTCTTAAAATTTGAGCTGCAGATATCAAAATCTGTCAGATTGCACAAACAAATTTCATTGAAAAATGGCTAGATAATTATCCAAGTTTTATTTTAAGAAAAATCACACAGAGCAATTTTCCATTATTTCATCTAAAGTAGGAACTAAAAATTTGTGATCCAGCTATTATTCCAAAACTATTTTTCGATGCGGAGTATTCCAAAAAGCAAAGCGTTGCAATGAAAGTTGTTTTTACTGCATCCTAAATTTTGTTTTCTGAAATCCAGGTTCTCAAGAGATTTGGCCGGTAGATGAGCCACACAATTTCTCGAGATCCTAAAGTAACTTGGGATGTAATAGAAAAAATCATGCTTAATTGTTAAGTTAATTAAGGCAGAATTGTGGTGTGATGATTTGATTGGTATTGGTGATTAGGTTCATCACGAACACGACCAGCAGCACTGACCCCCCCGGGATGAACTGGGTGTGGCGCAAACTGGGCATAGAGAACTGCAAACACAGTGTGCCCAAGTTCAGCCAGAGGACTGTGATGGACCCCCTTGACAGTGCAGTGGCCCGGGCAGTGCTGTACGACATGAACAAGTTGTCCCTGCTGCACCATAAACTGCCAGATGTGGTCGAACAGAAGAAGGAGAAGAAGGATAAGAAGAAGAAGAAGTGAACAGCAGACAGGCTATTCATATAACACACACGAATGATGAAGCAGTCAAGGCGATTGGAAGTGAATTCAGTTGTCTTCGGAGAAGCAAACAAAAATGATCCATCAAGCATTCAACAAAACTTTGATTGATTGAAGATGTTAGGTCTGCGAATGACGATGATCGCATCGATTATGCAGAAGAAAAAGACTTTAAAACATAGATAACTGAAAAATACAGACTACTGACCACTGAAAGTGATTCCTGATTTGAAATTCGATAAACAGACTGAGTTTGTGATCTCTTTACAATTGATATATCTGTTTGCTACTGTAAAATGTCTCTCAGAGGCAATTTCTTCAGAAGCTTACAGACAACGCCGAAAACTTCCATCTGCTGAAGTTCGTGGGCTGAATGTATATTTAATGCCACATTTTTTGTCAACATCGGCAACATAATTGGTCAAAAAGTGGTACTTTTTAGGTTATTTCGACTTGTTGATTTGATTTTAAGCTGCACAAATGTGTAAAAAATTGACTTCCTATATCAAAATGAAAAATTTTGTTATTCAAATTCTTCAGATTTGTTGATCAAAAAAATTATTGCTGTCAAGTTGGCATTAACTGTCTTTGATTAATTCGTTCATGTTGTAATAATAAAAACTTTTGCCATGTAATGTGACGTGTAAATTGAATGCAGTATACTTTTTCCAATTCAACACTGACAAAAAAGCTTTTGCGCCTCCGAAACCTCGCTGCTTCGACCCTGTTTTGCCGGCTCTGTTGAAGTTTGCAACTGGCCTGATTTATATATATATATGATAACGAATTGTTTCAAAATAACCAGTGGCAAACTAAATGAAACAAAAACAAGCCAAACTTTCAGTTGACAAAAGATTGGAAAAAACGCTGTTAGTTCTAATTTCAAGGGGACTATTTTCAAGCGTTTCCAGTTGAAGAAAAAAAGCCGTAATGCAAAGTTTGTAGCTGATCAAAGCTTACGTTTACTGATCGAGTTACAGGAAAAAAAAGACATTTTTGTGAAAAACATCCCTTCAATTCTGATTTTTGAAATTTTGAAAGAAGACAGCAACCGCCCTATTGGTTGATTATTAAGGCAATTTCATATTGAACAAATATCCTTCTAACAAAATGAACAACCAAGACACTATTCTTGTCACTTTGGCTTATGACCAGTACAAGTCCAATAAATTGCAATTGATTACGTTCAAACCTTGAAAAAAATAACGAATCTCTTAGGTGGCTAATATTTGAATTTTTAACTAAAGATGAAAAAAAGTCATTAGAAACAATTTCAATGTCATATTTTCTTGAAATTGACAGCAAAATTTTTCACAATCTTTCAAATGAGACTAAGTGACGACGTATTTAGTGATAGCTCCGAGTTAGATACATTAAACAAGGCCTTTGTATTCAAAACCTCTATTAAAACTGATCAATTTGCCGTTGCTTTGTCACTGATATAGTAGTCAAAAAATGAATTCAATCATTTAATTGAACAATCTATGATGAAAAAAATGATAAAAAACTAGACCCCAAAAAAAGTTGCAAAACTCTGGTAAAAAATAATTGCAATGTTTTGAAGCTTGTGCACCAACAAAATTGGTTTTCATTACAAATTGTGGACCCAAAACACGACTTAATTATTATTTGTTCATCCAAGTGAACAGCAGACAGGCTATTTATATAACACACAAAGTGATAAATCACGAGACTCTTTTCCAGTCCTTATAGCAAAGAATATGAAATCACCGTAAAATATAGGTATTTTTGCTTGTTGATGAAGCAAAAAGCTTCATTTTTTTCTGTTCACATTATCATCATTGGTTACATCATTGTTATTTCTTTACTTGTTTTGAACTCACTTTTAAAGTTTGATAATAAAAAACAGGGGGATTAGAAAAGAACCAGGTGTTTAATAACCAACAAAAAGAAAAAATCAAGGTGCAAAAGTAATTGATACGAAACGAGAATAGATAGAAAAGAATGATGAAGCAGTCAAGGCGATTGAAAGTGAATTCAATTATCTTCGGAGAAGCAAACAGAAATGATCCATCAAGCAATCAACGACGACACTTTGATTGATTGAAGATGTTACTTCTGCGAATGAAGATGATCGAATCGATTCTGCAGAAGAAAAAGACTTTAAAAAAATATAACTGAAAAATACAGACTACTAACCACTGAAAGCGATTGCTGATTTGAAATTTGATAAACAGATTGAGTTTGTGATCTCTCACCATTGATATATCTGTTTGCTACTGTGAAATGGCTCTCAGAGGCAATTTCTTTAGAGGCTTACAGACAAAGCCGAAAACTTCCATCTGCTGAAGTTCGTGGGCTGAATGTATAGTTAATGCCACGTTTTTCGTCAACATCAGCAACATAATTGGTCAAAAAGTGGTACTTTTTAGGTTATTTCGACTTGTTGATTTGATTTTAAGCTGCAAAAATGTGTAAAAAATTGACTTCCTATATCAAAATGAAAAATTTTGTTATTCAAATTCTTCAGATTTGTTGATCAAAAAAATTATTGCTGTCAAGTTGGCATTAACTGTCTTTGATTAATTCGTTCATTTTGTAATAATAAAAACTTTTGCCATGTAATGTGACGCGTAAATTAAATGCATTATACTTTTTCCAATTCAACACTGACAAAAAATAAGTTTTGCGCCTCCGAAACCTCGCTGCTTCGACCCTGATTGCCGGTTCTGTTAAAGTTTGAAACTGGCCTGATTTATATATATATGATAGCGAATTGTTTCAAAATAACCTAGTGGCAAACTAAATGAAACAAAAACAAGCAAAACTTTCAGTTGACAAAATATTGGAAAAAACGCTGTTAGTTCTAATTTCAAAGGGTCTGTTTTCAACCATTTTCAGCTGAAGAAAAAAGAAAAAGCCGTGATGCAAAGTTTGTAGGTGCTCAAAGCTTACGTTTACTGATCAAGTTATAGAAAAAAATATTTTTTTTGAAAAACATTCCTTCAATTCGGATTTTTGAAATTTTGAAAGAAGGCAGCAACCGCCCTATTGGCTGATTATTAAGGCAATTCCATATTGAACAAATATCCTTCTAACAAAATGAACAACCACGACACTATTCTTGTCACTTTGGCTTATGATCAGTACAAGTCCAATAAATTGCAATTGATTACGTTCAAACCTTGAAAAAAAATAACGAATCTCTTAGGTGGTTAATATTTGAATTTTTTAACTAAAGATGAAAAAGAGTCACTAGAAACAATTTCATTGTCATAGTTTCTTGAAATTGATAGCAAAATTTTTCCAAATCTTTCAAATGAGACTAAGTGACGACGTATTTAGTGATAGCTCCGAGTTAGATACATTAAACAAGGCCTTTGTATTCAAAACCTCTATTAAAACTGATCAATTTGCCGTTGCTTTGTCACTGATATAGTAGTCAAAAAATGAATTCAATCATTCAATTGAACAATCTATGATATAACAAATGATAAAAAACTAAACCCCAAAAAATGTTGCAAAACTCTAATAAAAAATAAATGCAATGTTTTGAAGCTTGTGCACCACCAAAGTTGGTATTCATTACAAATTATGAACCTAAAACACGACTTAATCATTATTTGTTCATCGAAAAATTATTCGATATCCTGAAAAATGATCAGCAGCACTGTAAACTTATCATGCAAAAGATTCGACGAAAATTTCCAATAAAGTATCAATGCTCCGAAATTATTTTTACTATAAAATGGCTAACCTTTTAAACTAATTTTCAATCATAGGAAACTATTTCACAAAAGTACTTAAAGCAAAGTTTCTTGAGCACTTACTATTTACTCTGAAAATAAATACCCGAACATAATTTTTCTAATTTTACATGTATTACAAAATTAGAATGCAAAACAAAATACGAAAACTAATCAAAGGAAACTGCAAGGCCTTGTGATACGCCGGCCTGGGCATTCAAATATGGAGCAAAAAGCATTGAAAACTCCTTACTTTTCGCTTCAATGAGTATACTGAGCTTAGCAAAGTGTCTAGTGAGAGAGTATTGACTGATAGAGCGATTTATATTCAGAATTTTGTGTGTTTAGCTCGATTGTTTTGTCATTCACATCGCCTTCAAAACTAGATTAGATTGAAATTTGAGAAAAAGAATCCTTGATTTAAAAAAATTCACTCCTAGTGGCTTCGAAAGACAAACCAACGCCGAGTTTCCATAAGAAGCCGCAGTAGTGCATGAAACAGAGTTGTATCAAGCACAACTGAAGAAGTTTGATCTTTTGCTTGAGGTATCTCGAAATAATTGTGCTGAGGATTAACTTGACATCGACATGTGAGTATTATGCTGGCCACTGCATCAAGCAGACATTTTGCTATCTACAGAAAAATAATCTGTGCTTAATCTGGCATGTCAAAAAATCAAAGTGATTGGATTGCCTTGCCATGAATGAAAAAAAAACTTATTTGTAGTAATCTCAACCTTGGCGATTGAACGGATGTTTTCAAGCTAATTTTTCTCCCAAGAAGGGAGTGAGAGAAAAAAGTAAACTGTCTAGAGATAACACGAATGCGATCTAGGCTTGATTCTCCATATCTGCAGAAATTGAAAGGCAAAAACAACAAACCTTGTTGCACGGCTGCGAGAGCAGAACGATTGTATTCAGGCATACGATTGAATGAAATCTTGGCGACTGTTGTGATCTAAAAAAAAAACGTTTGATAGTGAAATAACCTTGTCCATGTGTATTTTGAACCACCTTTCTGTTACTTCAGAAAATGCAATGAAACCTAGGTGCAAACTCGTAGCTCTGTTTTGAACACTTAATGAGAAGAATATGAGAATTTGATACATTCGTTCATTTTTGTCTCATTTCAATTAAAGAAGGATAGACTACTCGTTCTGTTGTCGTTCTGTTTTTCGCGCTTTTTCAGTTTCAATCGAAAATCCAAAAGGACACGAGCCATGCACGAACAAAATGAAATTTTAAAAACAAAATCTTCACCTCCAAAAAAGCTTCTTTTTTCGTTCTTATTGCAGATAACATTACTGAACGGATGTTTTCAAGCAAATTTTTCTCCCAAGAAGGGAGCGGGTGAAAAAAGTGAACTGTCTAAAGATAACACAAAGATGCTCTAGGCTTGATTCTCCATATCTGCAGAAATTGAAAGGCAAAAACAACAAACCTTGTTGCACGGCTGCGAGAGCAGAACGATTGTATTCAGGCATACGATTGTATGAAATCTTGGCGACTGTTGTGATCTAAAAAAAACGTTTTATAGTGAAATAACTTTGTCTATGTGTATTGTGAACCACCTTTCTGTTACTTCAGAAAATGCGATGAAACCTGGGTGCAAACTCGTAGCTCTGTTTTGAACACTTAATGAGAAGAATATGAGAATATGATACATTCGTTCATTTTTGTATCAATTCAATTAAAGAAGGATAGACTACTCGTTCTGTT